TCTTAAAAACTGATTTTGTAAATGCGAATTATGATCATACATTATGATCAAGTTGGTTTCATTCCAGGAATGCAAGGTTGGTTCAATATATACAAATAAGTAAAGATAGTACATAACATAAATATTAGATGCAGAAAAGTCCTTTGACAAAGTTTAACATCTCTTCATGAAGAATAGCCCCCAAAGGAACTAGTAATGGAGCATATCTTAACACAGTAAAGACCATGTCCAACAAGCGTATAGCCAACACATACCAAGTGGAAAAGACTGAAATCTTTTCCTCTAATGCCCTCATGAATCCTACTCAACACAGTGTTCAAAGTCTTAGCTAGAGGCATAAGACAAGATAAAGAAGAAAGGCAGATGTGAATAAGAAAGGGAGAAGGTATATTTGCCTTTTTGCAGACAACATGAGCCTATACCTAAAAGACTCAATGGCGCCACCAGAAAACTCTTAGACCTGATAAATACTTTCATTAATGAAGCAAGACACAAAATAAGTGTACAAAAATGCCAAGATTGTTATATCAAAGGGAAAATCCCATTCACAATAGCTTAAACACATTTAGAGATAAACATAACCACCCAGCCAAGGAGACTAAAGACTACGGACCTTAATGTTTGAGTCTCCACAGGAAGAAACTGAAGAATGCACCAGAAGACACAAAGACCTTTTACATACTCATGAATTGTCAGAATTCATGTGGAAAAAATGGCTATACAAAAAAGTTATATACAAAGGCAACACAATTCCCATCAACAGAACTAGAAAAAGAAAACTCCAAAATTCCTACAGAAGCACAAAGACCCTAAATAATCAAAGCAACACTAAGCAAGAGCAATGCTGATATTGTTACAATACCTAATCTCATAGTATACTACAGAACCATAGTAACAAAACTGTATGGCACCAACACAAAGACAGACATGTAGACCAGTGGAAGAGAAGACCCAGAAAAAAAAAAAACAACCCCACAGTTCTACACTTACATGTTTTGACACAGATGTAAAATACATACTTGGGAGAAAAGGCAGTCTTTCCAACAAATGGTGCTGGGAAAACTGAACATTGACTATAGAAGAATTAAACTAGATACCTATCTTTCTCCCAGCACACACGCTCGCGCGCGCGCACACACACACACACGCACACACACACACAAATCAATTCAACATGCATTAAAGATTGTTGTACCAGACCTGAAACTTTGAAATTGCTTCAGGAGAATATAGCAACATATTTCAAGATAAAGACAAGGACAAGGATTTCCTGAAAAGGTCTCCACAGGAAAGGGGATTATAGAGTGAGGAGATAGTCTATAGAATTCAAACAAATCTTAGCTAACTATATACCAGACAAGGAGTTTACATCTAGAATATATGGAGGGCTGAAAGAATTAAATACCAAAAGAACTCAGTCAAACAACTGGCTAATAACCTGAGTAGACAATTTTCAAAATTACACGTATAATTGCCTAATGACTATTTGAAAAATGTTGAACACCCTTAACCATGAGGGTTAAGCAGATTAGAGTTGCTTGGAGATCCCATCTCATCCCAGTCAGAATGGCTGTCATCAGGAAAACAAACCAGGACAAATACTGGTGAGGGTGTGGGGTGGGATAAACTCCTATACACTGCCAGTGGGAATGTAAACTCAGGCATCCACCATGGAAATAAGTGTGACAGACAGCCCCTTAAAAAACTAAAATAGAACTACCATATAATCCAGTTGTACCACTCCTGGGCACATGGCACAGAAACACTTGCATTTCCATGTTTATTGCTGCACTGTTATTCATAATAGCTAGAAGTGGAAACGCAGTGCACACACACGGAACTGTGACATCTGAGGGAAAATGGGCAGGACTGAAAATCACTCCGTTACATGAAGCCAGACTATGAAAGACAAATACTCTGTGTCCTCTCTCTCTCTCTCTCTCTCTCTCTCTCTCTCTCTCTCTCTCTCTCTCTCTCTCTCTCTCTCTGTCTCTGTCTCTGTCTGTCTGTCTGTCTGTCTGTCTCTCTCTCTCTGTGTGTGTGTGCTCAAGACCATGAAAGACAAATACTCTGTCCTCTCATCTGGGGGGGAGCTCAAGGCTATGAAAGACAAATTCTGTGTGTGTGTGTGTGTGTGTGTGTGTGTGTGTGTGTGAGAGAGAGAGAGAGAGAGAGAGAGAGAGAGAGAGAGAGAGAGAGAGAGAGAGAGTACACAAGAGTGGAGGCAGAACTTTTGAAGGGAAGGGGGAAGGGGTAATAGAATGCACGTGATGTGAACACAGAAGGAAGCACTATTTAAGAGGAGGAAAGGGACAGGGCAGAGGGGGGGATGAGGAGGTTAAGAGAGGACAGTGGGAAGAGAAAATGTCAGAAGAAAGTGATGGCACATGTATAAAAAACGTTATAATAAATGTTATAATGAAATCCATTACTTTGTATTCCTTTTAAAATTAGTAAAAATGCAGATTCTGGCATTTGTCTCCAATACAACTCTGCTTTTAGCATGGGCTGCTATACAGTTCCTTGTGGTGCAATTGTGATGCAATTGTGACAAAGTCTTCAGGAACACAGATAAAACGGAGCACTTTGTATGCTTCCCAGCCAGATGATGTCTGTAAATTCTTCCAGGGCCACAACAGGCATTCAATATTTGTGCTTAAGGGCTTTAAATACTTTTCCTCCAATCTTCACAATGTCTCCTTAAGTATGATGGTGCTATTATACTCAACCCTCACATTCTGATGGCAGAGGGATACTCTTCATTATATGAATAAACAGGAAGCTTGCAAAATTGAAATGACTGTCTTGATAAAAGCCTTGATTGAAATCTGGGCTACCTGGACTCCTTTGTAAAACTTTTCTTGGTTTTATTTATTTTATGTGTATGGGTGTTTTGCCTGGATATATGTGCACTGTGTGTTCACCTGATATCCAAGGAGGACAGAAGAGGGTCTTGGATTCAGTTCCAGGGGATCCCAAGTTACGGATGGTTGTGAGCTACCACGTGAGTGCTGGTAACCCTTCATGGATTTTTCTCAACCTAGACTTGCTTGGAAACAAATTCTTATTTTGTAGTTCAAGCTGGCCTTCAACTCAGAATCTTTTGTTCCAGCCCACCTCTTAGCTTGTAGCACAACTACTAAGAACTATAAAAAGGGATAGAACTCAGGAGCTGATGTCACACAACGGATTCGGTCTTGTTACTGTTTGGGTGTGGAATGCAGCTCTGCTTCTATGCTCTCCCACAGTGAAATGACAGAATCTTACCCTCTGGCTCAGTGCCTCAGCGGACACCTGGCTATTAATTTTTATTTTTGGACTTGGCTATGCAAAAAGGTGTAAATCTAAATGTCTCATCTACCCCTTGTTTCTCCATTGTTTTCGAATGCCATAAAAGATTTTTGTCCAATTCTTTGGAACTCTCCCTTATTGTTATCAGAGAATGGGGGGAACTTGGTGAAATGATTATTGGGTGGAACAAATCTCTAGCTATCGTACCAAGAACTGGAAAGATCTCTGGCACACAGAGTAAAAAGGGTTCATCATTCAAGATTAGTACTGGCTCAGTCCTGCTTCACTGAGAGCGGTTTTCACTCTAAATGAGGACAAATAAGTTGATTTTTCTGTGTGGGTTGATAGAGGACTTGAATCCTATAAGCTCATCGACTCTCATCTATCTTTCCTTGCCTACCTTATCTTTTTGCTTGGTGACATTTACTTAAAGAAAGCAAGCATGGTGTGGTGGTGCACACCTTTCATCTAAGCATTCCTCAGGCAGAAGCAGGAGGATTTCTGTGAATTCGAGGCCAGCAAGTGCTACATAGTGAGACCTTGACTCAAAAGTAAAAAGGAACGGCAAAAGAAAAGAAACCATCGGATGTAAGATCTGAGTATGTATGTAAGGTGATGTGGGCGCTATAAATGCTTCATTTCGGTCGACAAACCCAAGGCTAAGAGTAAAAAAGGCACTACACGGAATGGCCCGGCTGCTTCTCGGTCCTCTTACGATTGCCCCCTTCCTTTACCGTTTTCCGTAGACAATTCTTTCTTAGTCCTTAAATGTGCCAAACACATTCCCTCCTCAGAACCCTTGTCATTGCTAGCTCCTTACTTGAAACCAGATAGTTCCAGGACTGGGTCATTCTCATCCTTCAAATTTCTGCTCAGATGTCACTCTAGGAGGTCTTTCCTGGTCATCCCAAAATAACATCTCTACTCACTTTCCTCTGTGTGTGTGTGTGCGTGTGTGTGTACATGTGACTGGCAATCACACACCCAGCGCAGTGAAGATTTCATGCATACTTTGTGGCTTCTAGAGATTACAGTCTTCAGCAGGACATAGAATAAAGGTTGCTTTCCTCTCCTATCCTTGGGAGCCCGGTGCCTGGCAGATGGTCAGTGAATTCTTGAATGAATGAATGAATGAATGAATGAATGGGAACGTGGCTCTTGGGAATCTTGAGAGTCGTTTCTTCTCCTTCCACCGGCTCCCCTTCCCAGAAGTGGTGGCTCACTGAAGTCAGGCGCTCGGGTCTCAGTGGCCGGTGCGCGGTGGCAAGTCCCCCGGGCGAGCGATTACGGCCGGCCGGGAGCTGAGTGCACATGGAAGCGAAAGCAGAAAGGGTGCGGCGAGATCCTGAGAGGAAAGTCTCCGCGGAGGCAGCGGCCGCCTACTCTATCAGGCCAGGCGCACCGGGGCCTTCCCGGCTCGGCTGACTCATTCCCAGCCGCCTCCTCGGCGAGCGGAGGCCGCATGCCCGCCCGAGGCAGCGCCGGCCCGCACCCGCTGCTCCTCCTCCTCCTCCTGGTGCGCTCACGCCCGGGGGCTGCCCCGGGAATCTCCACGCGCGCCTCCGCTTGCCGGGAGCCCGCAGTCGCGGCCCGCCTCCCGGCCCCGGCCCAGCCGGGAGGAGCGGCCCCGCGGGCGGCGCAGGCGCAGTGGGGCGTGCCGCCTCCCGCCCGCCCCCAGACTGGCTTGCGGGCGCCCCGGGTCCGCTGCGCTAGGCCGCCCGCCTGAGGCAGCGCCCGCGTCGGAGCCCGCCGCGCAGGGGCGACTGAGCCCGCGTCGCCAGCCGAGCCGAGGGGGCGTGCGGCCCCGGGAGAGCGGGGACGGGCTCGGCGGTGGGCGTGGCGTGGGCTGCAGGAAGCCGAGGCTGAGCAGAAAGGGGGGCAGCCGCGGCCGCCGACGGCCTCCCGCCGCGCTGACAGGCTGGGCGGGCCCCGGCTCTGGGCGAGCTCGCGCGGCGTCGGCGCCTCGGCCGCGGCCCCGGCTCCCGGAGGCGCCCGTCGGGGCGAGGGCTGCGAGGCGGCTGCCGGGACCGCCGCTGCGGGATGTGAGTGCGGGCCGAGCCCGCGCGGGAGGGCCCCCGAGGGCCCAGCCTGGCGGCCGCTCGCCCCTGCACCCGGCCCGGGGGCTCCCTAGACCTCGGCCGGCGGAGGAGCTCCGACGCGTCGCGGAGGAGCAGCCCCTGCGTGCCTCGGGGCGCTCTTGTGTGGCCCGACTCGTGTCGCCGGTGGGTTCAGTCCCTCGCTACTGGCTGGGGGCGGGGGTGGGGTGGGGGTGGGCAGCGGTTCTCCCCGCGATCCCTCCTCCTGCTCCCCACTTCGCCCCTGCCACTGACCGGGAACTTCAGAGCGGGCTTCCAGCAGCCTAGGAAGGAGTGTCCGGCTGTTGATAAACGTCTGCATCCCCGTGTGCCCTAGAACCCGATCCCCTCTTCCTTATCCTTCTGTAAAATTTTCTAGGCATCTAAACAGCGCCGGGAAGAGGAAAAAAAAGATCATCTATTTGCCCTGGGTTTCTGAGGTAGTGACTGCTGCTTCTGTTTTTGGGTTCCAGAAGCAGGCGAGGGGAGCAAGATGTGAACTGTTTTTCCTCCCCAGAAGAAAAGGCCCTTCCTTCCTTCCCCTCCCGCGACGGTGAGTGTAAGAGCTCGGGGTTGTGTGGTCACTGCAGTTAAAGGCAAGGGTGTCTGCGATCGATCCACAAGCCAGTGCTTGCTAGGGAGGCTGGATGCTTATGTGGAACACCAGGGCTAATTGTTGCTTACTCCGAACATGGCAGTGCTGAACTTTTCCTGTTGCTGTGGGAGGGTAATTGGTTGGTATTTATTGTGTCTCTTGGATCCTTTAAGAAACGTTCTTTGTAGGTTTTACAGTGTGGCTTTGCGGAGAAAATAAATCGCCCCCTTCTCTGTAGGTAGCCGGAGCTTTAATTTCCAAGTAATAAGAAATACCTATTGAGGGGACACATTGGCTGTTTTTGCTGGGCGTCTGCTGCCGCACTGAATGCTTCCTGTATTCACCTGCCCAAGCTCGCTGTGCCGGGCGAATGCACGCAGTCTGCTTTCCGGTTATTCATCTGTCAGGGGAAACTCCTGAATGAAAGGATGGGAGCAGCTGAGTGTCACACAGAGGGGAGGAGAAATGTGGAGAAGGCAAACAGAAGTGGGAATAATCGAGGTTGCTTTTGGTTTCATAATAGGTTTGTACAAGTGAGCTGTTGGCTTACAGCAAATGTTCGGATACAATTCACAGCAGATTTGAAAATGAATCACCGGTTTTTGTCCTCTTTCTCCGTGTTTTCTTCACCTGTTTAAACAGCCATCCCAAGTGGTAGGGTCATTTGGTTGTACATGAATTTGCTTTCGTGTGCTCCCTCAGCAGACTGGGTGTGTCCGGGATTTACCATAAGAGCACATAGTAGTGTCACAGAGCACTTACCTGTACAGGGGAGCTGCAGTATGTGCTGCCTAGATAAGCACTTATGTTTATTTTTGCTTTTACAGAGCTTTGTGGAGCTCGTTCTGTAGACCAGAACAGGCTGGTCTGCTTCTCAGAGATCTGCGGGTCTCTGCCTCCTCAGTGCTGGGATTAGAGGTTCGAGCAGCTGCTAACCATCTCCTGGCTTGGATTTGTTTCTTTTAGTGTCTTTTCCTTTGTGATCTGAAGGTATCTTCAGTATGGAAAGCAAACATGATGTTTTCTCTCTCTCTCTCTCTCTCTCTCTCTCTCTCTCTCTCTCTCTCTCTCTCTCTCTCTCTCTCTCTACTTCAATCTGATAGGTTTTTTTCTTGAAAGATGGAATCGTTTTCTGGCAAAATAGGAGAGACCACTGGCTTTCGAGTTAGGTCTGAGTGTGTGGACTTGGTTTAGAATGATGGTGTTATGTGCATTTAACAGCTGTGTTACTTACAATTTGTTTTCTTAGATGATTTTGAGAGGATTGATAAGATGAATGCAAACTAGTGAATGGTTTGGCCACGTTTTGAAAGTCTTAGCTACTTATAGCTGGGCAGGTACAGGAGGTTCCTAGCTGGGTGGTGCACAGGTCACTGGCCGGTAGCTTTTCTTCCTTAGAGTAAGAGGAAACTGAATACTAGTGTATTTACAGCCTTTGTATGGAAGGGTTTGCCGCCTAAGCCCCGTTGTGCTGCCCTCTTGTGGATAACTGTGCAAAGAATTTCCCTTTGCTCCTCCTCCGTAGCACTGTTTTTCCTTTTTAGGCTCCTCCACTTAGTTCTCAGTTTCCCAAACTGTGTGCCAGGTACCTACAGCACCATTAAGCTCAGGCTTCCACAAGTTACTTGGGGGTATTTTCGGGGTTAGAAATCTCCATCCATTTCTACAATGGTGTGTCTTTGTAAAGCTGTATTTTCAGAGTTTACTGTGTGAGAAGCAGCTATTTAGTGTATGACAGTGTGGAACAAGACATGACAGTGCCAAGGTTTGAGGATTTGTTGGTACCCCAAACAACACTAAACGCTAAGAATATTAATGCTAAGTTGTTTGAACTTATTTTAGTATTTCCTTGACTTAAAACCTCGTGAGGAAATTGCTAACCTTCAGGAGTCCCCAAATGAAGATAGTTTGGGAACATCTTCATTTGGTTGCAGAAGGCTTTTCTGATAAAGTTTTTGATCCAAAGCTAGTATTGGTTCATAATGAATGGCTTAATGTAGTGCTTCTAATAATTCTTGTATGATTTCTGCTAGGTTCTCACATTATAATTATTCCTCTTGTGTACGAGTTACTCTAGTCATTCCATAGCTTTTATTTAATTCTGCACAGGTCTCTTGCCACTATGTTTTTAATGATCTTTTTGTCCCAAATGAAAACTTCTATTTTATACTATTGCTATAATTTGGATCTTGAATGTCCCTCAAAAGCTTTTGTGTTAAAGCCTTTGTTACCAGGCTTTGAATTGCAGGAGATCATGGACTAATGGGCAGAGGGGAAATGTTGTGATGCTGACTTCTCCTCTGATTGCTTCCCTGTTGCCATGGCACCCAGGTCTCTACCCTTCTTACTTTAATAATACTTTGTTGGCCCCAAAGACAGTTTTTAGCCCTTTGCATTTCCTCACCCCACAATCTCATAGATCAATTGCCTTATGTTTGTACTGTCTGAGTTGCTGTAGGCGAGGCTTGCCAATATTACCTAGAAGAATCTCCACTCTTAGTGCTCAGTGGCGTTTGTCCCCACTTCAGGTTAAGCCCTTTCTGATAGTCTTCTGGAGGCTTTATTAGACCTTTATTCATTTCAAGACAGATTTTAGGTGGGTCCTCATTTCTTCCCAGCTACTGTAGAATTGTCCCTTACTCCAGTGGTTCTTGAAATTACATACAAGACTTATTGAAACATATATTGTTGGGTTCTGTCTCCAGAGTTTCTGTTTCAGTGGGTCTGGAGTAGAACCCTTACATTTGCATTTATTACCTGTTTCCAGATGAGTCAGTGATTTTCATCTGGGGACCACTACACTTCAAGAATCACTGATTTAAGATAGGTTGACAATATTTTTCTGTTAAAGCCAGATAGTTTTTAAACTGTGTTGGCAAGATTGTTTCTTTTGCCAGTCTACAGTGGTGCCTGTGTGATGCAGAAGCAGTCATAGGCAGTGCAGAAATAACCGGCGTGCTGTGTTCCAGTAAAGGTTTACTTACAAAAAGAGAAACTGGCTGAATTTGGCATACACACTAAAATACGAAAATGTCCAATGTACATTTACTTAATACCACATTCTGAGTGAGTTACTGCAGGTCTCTTCATTCATTTAGTTTAGAGAAAAACTTATTGAAAGAACTGTTTGTCTTTTTAAAATTCTCTTAAAATTTATTTTCTTGAGCAAGTAACACATTTAATTTTTATAATTCAAAAGCAGTATTTTTGTTATTTTGTTTGAGAAACAGAAGAGGGATTGTATTAAATATTGTCAAGTTAGTTTAGAAACACTAAATGCTTTTTATATCTCTACGCAGTGTTTTCAGGTGTCTGATTCTAGCCAACTGAAGACATGAAAGTCATCAGCTGATCATTTAACTAGCTTTCACTTCTGTTTTGAAACCTGTGTCTTCCAGAACCATGTTGTGCACATTCTTTCTACACTCTGGCTTTTTACACCCTGATGTCTGCAAACAATGGTGTGCTTTTTGTTGGCTAAATTCTCTTTTCCCCAGTCTTGTGTGTGTGAGTGCTACAGGAATACAGGTGCCTGGGGAGGCCATAAGAGGACATCAGTTCCCTTGAGCTGGACATATTAGGTGGTCATGAGGCACCAGAAATCAAACTTGGGTTGTCTGGAAGAGTTGGGAGCCCCTCTAACCCTGAGCCAGGTCTCTTAAAATTGTTTTCCTTATAAAGGTTGAGTCCATGTTTTATTGTGTGTGAAATGTCTAAAACCTTCCTATATGATAATAATCATGACCGCTCTTTCCTTGTCGCCTTTGCTGCACTTCAATGAAGAATTTAGTGCTAATTATACATTAATTGAATGGAAATTACAGGAAGTGAGAGGAACATTTTACATTTACTAATTACAGACATGAGAATGGTAAGATTCCCTTATCAAACATAAGTAGCTTGCAATAAGAAAGGATTACAAGTAATTTTTAGTTATGTTGGCTTCTAATTTAATACTTTAGGGGGTGGTTTGAGATAGGGTTTCTTTGTGACTTTGGAACTAGCTCTCGTAGACCAGGCTGGTCTCGAACTCACAGAAATCCTCCTGCCTTTGCCTCCCGAGTACTGGCATTTAAGGCATGTGCCACCAGCGCCTGGCTTAGTTAATACTTTTGCCAGTCTATTATGTTATTTTCTCATTGTTATTTGTCTGAAAAGTGTAGGAGTAAATTTGGATAATATTAGATTATAACAATTGTATGTACGTACATACATAATTAAAATTCATTACAGCTATTATTTAATCTTTAATATTTGACGTCATTTTGGGGACTATGAATGAAATAATTAATGAGACATTATGCTCCTCACCTTCAAGAAGATCAGTAAACAAGCAAAAACCTTTGAGAAGTCAGAACTGATGGCTTCTGGGTAGGGGCAGGGGCAGGTGGAGAGGGAGCCTGAGAGTTTTGTGGAGATGATGAGTTCCAGAGGGTTTTGGGCGATATGGATGAGCATGGTTCAGACTGTGACTACACTGTACATTTCATTTTACATGAGGGGGAAATCCTATAACTATAGATCAGAAATAACTTAGAGGCAAGTCCAGGATTAAGTAGTTGAAAGTACCTGCATTTCAAGAGCTAGCAAATTCAAGGTCAGTAACTTACAGCTACCTATCTCTCACTAGTGTGTTTTGAGTTTACCTTTGCTTTTAATGTTCTTTATGGTTTAATATATGTACATATGCCTTAATGAATTATTCAGTTTTGCTCAGCTTATTTAAA